ATTTATTTACTCATGGTAATGTTGGTGATTAGTTGCTAAAGCCCTCCAATGTACCGTTGTCTCTATAAATCAATACTTCTACAAATACATGCGAAAAATTAAATCAATTTATACGATTTTTTCTTTGGTTGAGGAGACAGAGAAGCTTAAAATCTCCTACTTTGTCAAAGAAAACCATTTTGTGTAGTGGTGTTCTACATTAAAGGCTAAAAGAAAATATAGGGGTACTGTGAAGCGCAAGGATGCGGACATGTTTTTCTGATTGCTAACCATCAATAGCAACACTTCATAAGAATAGTATGATTCAGAGAAATATCCAACATGCCCTTACCCCATAGGACCTGAAGAGACTCACAGCTTAGATGGAAGAATTTATTGAGGGAAAAAATAGTAGATTATGCACTTCAAAAATTTGAGCTTGATAGAAAAGTGGCCATTGTTTAAAAAAAGTCACAAAAAGTAAGGAGATGCTGTGATCAGATAAGCCACACAACTTCAGATTTTTAGCAGGGGATGCTAATTCTGATTGTAAACTACCACAGTACATTGCCTTTAACACACCGTCTCCACACATTTTTTTTTAAATAAACTTTATTGGAAAACATTTAACAATACAAAAAAAGAAACAATTTACAATGAACAATCACCAGGGGTTTGAGCAAAATAATAATAATTAAAAATAAATAAAAAAATAAAAAGTAATTAAATAAAAGTACAAATAATAATAATAAATAGAAGCATATAAAGGGATTATATAAATACTTTAAATTTAGAGCATAAAGTTTTAGCAGCCTTTTTGTTATTGGAGGAGGATAATGTAGAAAAATAAGTAGTTGCTTCCTTTAAAAAAGAAATACAGGAGGGTTTAGTCACAATGATTTTACATTTGTTGATATAAAACTTGGCCAATAGTAACAGAAGATTACATAAGAAGAAATGTTCAGAAAGTTCTTTTTTATATTTTGTGATTCCAAATAAAAGATCTTTAAAATAAAGTTCAAATTTATCATAAATATTGTCCAGAATGAAGCGACAGATACCTTGCCAAAAACGCCTGGTGTGTTCACAGGACCAAAACAGATGAGAGACACCATCACCATCCCCACACATGTTGGGGGCAACATCAATGGAACAGAGTCAAGAGATTAAAAATGCCCAATATACCAATCTAAATACAATTGATAATTTACATCAAAAAAAAAAAAAAAACTCAGACTAAGTATAAGTAATTCTGCAAGCAGAATGTTGTCTAGATGATGCTCTGTTTGCATTGCTTAGTCAGCACTTGTAAATAGTGCTGCCCACTTGTAGCTGTAATTATTATAAAAAGACTGATCTATAAAAGCGTTGATAAGTACAGATGCACTCCACACCGCTAAGATTTCTATTTGTTTTTTTACTCTAAGCACACATCCTCTCAATTTCACTTCACAGTTTTGATCTAATCTGTGCTGGTGCGTCATATAACTTCCTGCTAAAACAAAGTATGATTTAAATGAGGATAAATTGGAAATTTCTCACATTTCTGCAATAGAATGTATCTTTGCATATGTGAAATACATATAACAAATGGCAGTGTTTTGTATATTTCACAAAAGCAATAGCAAGAAAACAATTAAAGGCTTTTATGAATCATTGCATAGCACAAGACAATGGAGAAAGTCTCCTCAGCACTCCAGGAATGTGTATCTAGTTTCACCTAATTTCATCATCCCTCTATATTGTAGGTCCATTTAGGAATCAAATATTTTCTTATTACTTGTGGGAAGTCTCTCTCTTGTTCTAAAACACACACACATACACACACCTACAGCCATTTGCTGTGTGTCCTCTTGCTTTCAAGGTTAAACTGAAGCTCCTCTGATGCTCGCAACACATTTGCATCAAACCACAAGCCAACAGCTGCCAATTAACACACAGCCTCTCTGTTGATACACACATGTCACAGGCACTTAGAGAGTCAGGGGATATCTCTCTTCCAACAGGCAATATACCACAAACCGTGAACATTTAAAAAAACAGATTAAGGTGCAGGGTAGACATAACTGGATGGAAAATGTTTTTGAAGGTTAGGAGTAAACGCGAGCGAGAGCGGTACTGATGTGCAGGGTACAAGGTTTTTTACTGTTTGCTTTTTCATGCAGTTACAGTACAAAGGTAAAAAGAAGAAGAAAAGAGGTGGGCTCAGTGAGATCTGACAGTAAAACATATCTGTTACACACATGAAACACAGATATATGGACAGCATAATCATAATAACCTTCATACAGCAACAGCAAAAACAACTAGCAGACATGGTAATAAAAATGTGTTTTTGAAGCCAGCCACTAGATGGCATTATCCTGCCTTTAATTTTCAATTTGCAAGTCTGATGTCTGAAAAAAAAAAAAAAAAAGGTCCTTCCCATATCAGCTTACAGTATACTAAAGAGGAAACATCTATTGTGAGGGTTTTGGCAATGATGATTATTTTTCTTCATTTTGATAATTATAAAATATTATTTTCATCTTCTATTAAAAAAAAAAAGCTTAGCCTATCAGAGACTTAAAAGTGTTCTTCGAATGTCAGACTGTAATGTAGTTTTAGTTCATGCTGTTCATATCGCCCAAAAAAATTAGGCTTACAAAGCTAGAAAAGGTAATATACAACCTTCCAGACATGTTCGTAGTGCTTTACATTTTCATATTGTGTCAGATCATTGGAAAAATATTGATATTTAACATAGCAGACGCTGCAACGTATTGCAAACCCAGTTCAACTAATAGCTTTAGCAGGTCACCTTATTTACTAATTATCAGGCTTTGTGCAAGGTAATCTCAGTATAGATATAAAGCTTTATTGGGAAGGGCTCAGGGGTTTGTTAAGGAGCAAAATAAAAAAAAAAGCAGCACAAAGACCAAAGACAACAGCAGAGAGGACATGGTTAAAGTTTATTTTTTTTTTCCTGAAGATGAAAACAGGGTTATAAAATAAAAGGCTAAAAATAGAAAACAGAAAATGGAAAAATACATCGTTTACCTGGAAAAACTACTTCAGAGGGTGCAAAAGACTTCATAATGTGTTGGAGGTTCACTTTAAAAAAAGGGAAACAACTCTAAACATACAGACAGAGCCACAGTAGTAACTGTTGGATTAAATCATCCATATGTAAGAATGACCAAAGATCTGACTTAATTCCAATTAAGAATCTGTTGCAAAACTCTCCATCCCATCTCTTGGAATTTTTGCTGTTTTGGCAAAGAACTGGTAAAGGTTTCTGTCTCTTAGTGTCTAAAACTGGTAGAGAGACCAACACTAAAAGACATAGCAGTAATAGCTACAGCTAGAAATGATTGTTTAATACGAGGATGATGTAATAACCATCTTCCCCAGCCCAATTACTTCTTTAAAGTTTATATTTTTAATTAAATGTATCCTGTAAATACAGCACATCTACCAGTTAGTTTAATTAGAACTCTTTTAATGGACTTTGCTTTCCTTCAGTCTCACTTTATCTTGCAGATTGTGACTGTAGCTGGATTCAGAGAGAATACAGTTTATCTACTGACCAATCAATCAGGGGCACTCAGCTTGTGGGAGGTCGGCAGCATTCGACAAGACTTGAGTCAGACAGTCAATACAATGACCTTCATCCTAACAAAAGATTAGCTGAACCCGATCAGGCACATTGGGCATTCTGGCACTCTTGTTAAATAAATAAAAAGTGGTTAAAAAGAAGAATCCAAAGCCACCAAAAGTTATTTTGTCTGTGGATTTCTAACAATCTTCTCCAGACATGTCTATTAACAGACATTTAATGTTTAGGAGTTTCAAGTATTAGAATCTTTAATCGTAATGGTAAAAATGTCATAATCTAGGATGGTTGTCTGTGTGTTTCACCCCCTCTCCGTGGGAATTAGGCAAATACTGAGCAGTATTCTAATAAGACTTACTACACAAAATAAGATGATTAAATTTTAGATACACCAGGAACCAGAATTTTTCTTTAGTCTCTGCATATTCACCGAGTGTCTCTCTCTTAGTAGATCTACTTACCTGGAATGTGTTTCCCTAAGAACAATCTTACCACAGAACAATCTCTGAAACACATGTCTTCTATGATGCCCCATAGATTTGTCATGATGCTTGGGTTTAAAGTTTTTCTTGGGCCTCTGGTTTCTTCTATTTTCGGTTGTTTATCTTCTCCAGATTGTTCTTCATTGGATTTTTCCTTTATTCTACCTCACTCTCCATTTTCCTCAGTTTCCATGCCTGTTGCTGCCTGTGTCTCTGCCTATGATACTGCAGACGCTGTATTCCTTTTGTGCAACTCTCATAGGTTCTTTATTAACAAATAACAGTTTTTCACTTTAATAGTATGATATGCGCTGTAGCTGCTCTTACAGGCCTCAGCATCTGGTAGCACATGTAAAAAACGAAATTGTATTACGACTGCCTTGTATTGGATTGTCGGCGGTCTTGAGTTTCGTTTAACTTACCTCCTCATATCTTGTGTTTTGCTCTGCTTTTTGTCTAAAGCAGGGTTGCCCAAAGTCAGACTGTGTTTTGTAGAACACTCGATTTCCATTAATGGTGGAATAAAAGGCTTTTGGTGAAGTGTAATCATCTGACTCAGATCTTCTCAACCATGGAAATATCTGAAACCTGCATGGTACTGACCCTCTTGGATTGAAGCCCAGTCCAAATAAATCTAATTAATAAGGACATTTTAGTCATGGTGGAAGTACCTCAGCCATCGTCATAATAAGTGCTGTCTGTCTATATATGTACATATATAAATGGGGTTGTTTCCTTATATCCCAGTTTTCCACAAAAACTGTGTATTTGCTTTCCATGCAATGTTATCATGCCCAGGGATTTATTTCCATGTGTAATATGAGTAATATAGTGGTAGGTTAGATTAATTGCAGACAGGGATATGTTTAAAGAGTTTTAATTCTATTAATTTGGATAGACAGAGCTTACAGCTAATAAAAACACAAAATTCAATCTGTCGGAAGAGCAAGGATGGGATAAGCTGAAAATATGAAACAAATCCTCAAATAAATTAACTTTATAAAGGTAGTCTTATTTATTGAGCTGGATGACTGCAAACAATAAAATACATCTGCAGCATGCAATATTTTTGTATTGCAGTTTGTCATTAACAGAATAAATAAAAAATAAAAGGAGACTGCGGCACAGGCAGCTTTTAACTGTGAAAAAACATTTGGTTTAACATTGTGCCATAAAGAATAAGAAACAAATGAAATGATGACTCTTCAGAGTTAAAGCAGAATTGTTAATGTGTACCGTGACTGAATATCAAAAATGTTGTTGGGTCTTTTCCCCTCTCTCCGCATTTTCATTTTCTAGGTAACAGCAGCAGGAATGTTATTTTTTTTTCCTCTGGAGATGATAGCTCTGCCCCTTTCTGCTGGTTCCTCTTCTTGTTTATACTTATTGAGGCTAATATTGGCTGCAAATTTTTTACAATCAATGGACGATTCCTCACTGGCCTTCTACTGAGAACACAGGAGCAGACAGTAAGAACAGTGAGATGTTTAACCAGTACAAAAATGCAGCTAACTTAGTTCATTGTGGTCTTCTTGATAACAGACATCATTTGTATCTATTTCACTAAACAGCATGCCATCCACCTCATGGTAATGCCCCATTAACTTATATTGTTCCTCCATCTGCTGTTCGAAGCCCTCCATCTCTGTTTCACGGGCCAACCTGTAGTTCTGGATCTTATCAGAGCTTTCCTTCAGGCTGGCCTCCTCTCGTTCCGATTCCTCTAGCTCTGATAAATCCTTCTGGCATCTGCATCAAAGCACAAGGCCTTAATATATGAATTGCTGGTATGCATTTAATAATCACAATTTACAGCCACATATTGTATGCATTCTTTCAGAGATGTCTCCCTCCAAAATGGACATTAATGTGCAAGCAGTATAGTTTTAATCAATGTATTCATTAGCAGTGCACACCAAAACATGTTCCTATACAGCATTGTCCAATTCCACTTACTTAAAAGGGATGTTGTCCTTCATTTAAAGTAAAAAAAATATGGAATAAGAAAGCCATAAGAAAGCAAGAAATATGGTATTCTATAAATGAAGAGGATGCAGGTCTAAAAAAAACCAGGACAATGGATAATTATGGCTGAAACTGTTACTTGAAGATGCAGAAATTTTATAGATCTTCAAACCAAATTTTAAAAAAGGAAAAATGTAATATTTTTATTACACATATAGTAACATAAATTGCAGCCCAGAATAACTATTTATTAAATGCAATTTAACATTGATAGATGCTGGAGTGTCCTTAAAGTAAAGCTATATTCCTTTGAATGCAGATGAAAAACAAGACAGATAGACACTTGTTCAATGTGGAAATAATGTAGATAATCAGTAAAAAAATAGTGAAGAGGAACAAGTAAAAGAATATACTGGAGATCTAAAACAAAAATAAAAAGTAAGCTTTTGCTAATCACAAAGAAAGCTGTGGTTGACGAGTCAAAAAGAAGCAAAGACCAAAGAACCAAACGACCCGCTAGTCAGTTTCAATTTGCACGTTTCCAAACAATACAAGGCCTTGTCTATATAAAGCCCCAAACTCACTGCCAATCCAGACATTTGAATTGAGAAAGCTTCCTGGACGGGAAGCGAAAAGTCTTCAAACCTTGGAAACCAAATCCAGTGGATTGTTTTTTAAACTTTTACGGAATGACAATGACCTGGATGATGGAGAATCTTCATCGGCTATTTTTTTTAAATTTTGCCTATTTTTTGTACATATTTAGCCTTAAGTTAGTCCTCAGTTTTGCCTTCTTTGTTTGCCTTTCTATTTCATCAGATTCTCAAAAACAATATGACTTCCAAATGAATGTCGGCACTTTGGTCTAGAACACTTGAACACAACAAAGACAAAGCCAGCAAAGGTTTTATCTTTTATCTTTGTTGCTCCATGAAATATTGTGTAATAAAGCTGCAAGTGAAAAATAAAAAAAACTTAAATTTATGAGCAGCTCCTGGTGTCAGCCATCCCACCTGACAAGAAACATATATGCCTACACATAGTAACACACGTGGTCACACACCGTAAAGCATTATAAAAGGTGAAGGAGAGGGGGCACATCTCTTTGGAACAACGAGCTCATTGGGGCTCAGAAATAGCTCTCTAATTAACAGACCCAAATATTCTCTAATGTGTCCTGGAGAGGGATGGACAACAAGAGAGGTGGAGAGAGGGAATGAAGAATGGCATATGGAGGATTCAGTTGGATCACACGTGAAATTACTGAAAAAATTCTAATGTTAACATATGTCAAGCTTCAGATATTGTAAGTTAAGGTTGAGGCAAAACGACATTTCGAAATATACAAAGAGAGGAATCTTAACACAAAGCAGTGCAAACACCTATCTCCATTCTTTAGTTGATGCATAAACAACAATTCAAAAGTTCAAAAAGATGGGAGCCCTCTGGACCAGTTGTGCTGCCCTTTCAAGCTGGGGAAAAGTCTTCACCACTCTAATAAAAGCTAAGGTCATAAGGGAAATTTACCTTAAAAGTCTTGCAGAAGGGGTTTAATCCACGCTGTTGCTACTGAAATAATGCAGTCACTTGAACCTATTTTGCATTTCATAGCCTAAAACCTCAAAGGCATGCACAAATGTGCAAACATGCAATATTCCTTAGTGAAATTAGGCCTTGATATGTCTGTAGCTGTTATTTCCAAATGAAGCAACTATACAAGTACTAATCTAGATACAAAAAGAGCGATGGCAGACCTGATCAAATGACTGTAGTCGAAGTGAAGAGAAAGCCGAGGGGGGGCATTCATTTTATCGTTGGATGGACTGACATGGATATCAGAATCAAAGCTAGGTGGATCTACAAAAGAAGCAAAAATTAAATTTAAAAAAGCAAACATATAATAAACACATGGATTTAAGTCTTGGATCATCCTTCATTTAAGTGAAAAATAATACCTATGGTTCTGCTTTTTTCTTGAACCGCATTAAGAAAGAGGAGGCGGGATTGAGCAGCCTAAAACAACAGAACCACAATATCTCAGTAGTGTTCAGAATGTTACAGCACATTATGTGTAAAACTTATTTTTCATTCACGATAGGGCTTAAATCTTTCAATAGATCTAAAAAATATATATCTCTAGGTTATCTGGGCTACCTTTTCAGAGTGTTCTGGCTCAGCCATTTGCCAGACTTTTTTAATGGATCTTATCTGGTCATCTCTCTCCGTATCTCTTTTCACTTCAATGCACTCTGATTTGGCTTCGTCAGTGACGACACGAAGTGTCCAGTTTGGCTTAGTCAGGTCGAGACTCTGTGCAAATTTACACACATGAACAATACAATAAAGGTCATGTTACTCTAAAAAACTAGCTGAAGATTATTGTAAAGCTTTTTGCAATGCTTTAAAATGGATAAATTCTGTCCACAAAAGGGCCTAGCTGTCCAGTTTTTAAGATTGCTTGTCATCTGTTCTGACTTAATGTAGTAAAATGTGATAAATTCAAGTAATTTACTTTTTATATTTTTCCTTTGCCTTCATGTAAAACTGAGTAAATTTTATAAAATTGATTGTTTTACATTTTCATTGATAAGCCTTAAATGATTTTTTAGCAAAAGCCAGGCAGTTAAGAACTGTAAATGCAAAAACAGCCTTTTAAAACAAACTTTAAATATTACAAACAACTCAGAAGAAATCTCAGTACACGTATAACAGCATTTGTGATAAAAAAAAAAAACAACAGCACATAGAAACACATTTACTGCTCATAAAAATTTCTATATATTCACCTGCCAAACATCAGTCTTATACATTATAGATTAGAAATCTTTTAGAATAGTCGGCCCTATTTTGTCCTAGTTTTTGTGGTTTGCCTTTTTTTTTTTTTTGCAACAGTATTTGTTTGCATTACATTACCCTTTCCTGCTGGCGCCCAGTTTTAGGAGAAGCAGCTGTCTTCTTTTTCTGCTTGTTACCTTCACTTTTTCGGGTAGTTTTGTGTTTTTCAGACTTATTTCCATCGTTGCTTGATGTACTGGTTGTAGATGGAGACTTAAAATCTTCACGTGTGAACACTAAAAAATAAGACGGAAATTATTAGAACAAATTGGGAAAGGAATAAACATTCAAAAAAAGCCTTATGGGTTTCAGATAATGTAGATTTTTCAAACATAAAAAAAACATTATTTTATCTTATATTTTTTACTTAACCCAGTTTAAATGTTATATTTATACATACACCTAATTCTGTTTTAATATTAATTTCTATCTCTGAATATTTTTTTCAATTCTACTTTAAACAAATAAAGTTTCTTTACTTTATATAGTAGAAAGTGATCTGCATAAAAAAAAAAAAAATAAAAAAAAAAAATCAGTGTATTTGTAGTACACTCACATGAATGCTAGATGGCACTGTTGCACTTTAAAGCCAAAACCAAGACACTTCCAAGCTTGGATTAAGTGGATCTTACTGTTTTTCTGCCTAGCAATGATAATTTTGCATTTAACTCACTTTCTGACATTATCTTTGAAACACTTTCATAGATGCTTCTTTCATGAAAAGAAGTGGATCAAAACATTATTTTGCCAAGGCACAAAATAAATATTGTATAAAAAATATTTGAAATAGTGTTTTGCTTGTTGAAGTGTCAGGTTCCACAGAACATAACTGCACAAACCCCTACTGTTGGTGGTTAAATGTTGCTATGGCTCATTAAAGGATATATAGTAGACATGCAATGTTGTTTGTGTGCAAAACACTTGAAGTGCAGTAATTTTATTGCATCATAGTATACTTAACTTGTAAAATAAGCTTAAAAGCTTTGCATGGCATGCAATGCATGTGTATCTGTGTAGCATGAAGGGATCATGATCAAGGGCACAGTCCCACCACTGAGACAGAGTTAAACTGGGTGAAATTAATCCAGTCTTCTGCTTGGATATTTCCCTGGGCACCAGGGGGCAAGAGCCAACTTCATCTGACATCCCATTGACCCATTTTTACAAAATTATCTAAAGAACATGGGTTTTTGTAGCCTGACCCCTTCATACATTGATGAAAGAACCCGGTGAAAAAAAATCAAAAACATTTTCCAATAGGATGGATTATAATATAACACAATTTTAATAAAAGAACAAAGAAATGGTGTTGGAACAGCACATATTTGAGGGAGAGAGTGATGACAGTCCCTGATTTCTGCAAGGAAAATAATTTAAAATAATTTTTAAAACCTATATTTATTGTATGATATTATATGACATGAGATATATGTTCTATGATTATATTATGTTATATTCTAACACTTTATGTTTTTTTTTTAGAAATGTAAAGCAGACATATTCATCTGCTTTGCATTTGGTCATAACAGTATTCTTACCAAGAGAAGTCGGAGAATAGACCTAAAACATTTCTTCCTAAATATGAATCACAGCTCAAAGAAAACAAAGAATAGGATGTGCATGAGCAAAGGTAAAGGAAAAACACAAAACAAAAAAACAAAAAAAACATTGCATACATTATTAACCTGTGGCTTGAATGTTGGCAATGTTTTAATGTAAAAAAAACAACACAAAAAAGGCATAAAGTATGAGGGATCTATGAGTTATACAAGATACATTATAAGATCTGGGTGCGTAAATTAGGATTTACTTGAGATACTTTTGTTTTTGACAATCCTGTGAGCAATTGAAAATGGCCAGAGGTGTCACCATCAATATTCAAGTAGAAGTAAAAATATCACGATTAAAAAGAAATTCAGGTATTAGCTCAAGCTTTTTACTCAAGTAGAAGTATAAAATTTCAGAACTACTAACAGTATTACTGTAAGATAAAATCAATGTAAAGTGGGAAAAAATGCCACGAAGTACAAAGCTTGTGTGTTATATAAAAAGTTGAATTAAAGTTGAATTTGAAATACACTAGGATGACTATTTCAGTTGGATATATATATATCCAACTGAAAAATACTGCATTCATGTACATTGGGAATATATAAGATAAACCATATGTGCACTAATAAGCAGTAATGTGTTTCATGAAGCCCAGATATATTGATTAATTGCCTATGATGCATAAAGTCAGCCTTTATTGGACAGTAAAAGTACATTCCAACTTGGAGTAGATGAACTAATGTTCAAAGGGCAGATTTTGTAACAATCATTTAGGTATAGTTGGTCAGATAATGTACATGGCACAGAAAAAAAAGTTATTTCTTAAAGTAACTGATCAAAAACTAGAAAAATAACCCTATTAATTCACAATACGCCATTTCGCCATGGATGTACAAAAGTTGTCTAGTCTTTTTGGAAAACAACCATCTCGATGGTGCTTGGCTGTGACATTTTGCAGCACCTCTTTAGGATATTTTGAGTCACTTACAAACTGTAATAAAAATGAATAATAAGGTTACTTTTAAAAAATTAAGAGTAGAAAGAACAGGTAATTTGGAGTAAGAGTAAAAAGTCGACTGAAAAATTATCACTCCAGTAAAGTAATCGATAACCAAAATTTCTACTTAAGTAAAGGAGTATAGTATTTATACTTCTTTACTTGACACCTTGGAAAATGGCCAAGTGTTCGATGTTGCGTCTAGCCAAGTTTGATTTATGGTACTCACCTCTCATTTCATTCCTCTTTATTTCTTGTAGCATATGGACAAAAGTTAGCTGGGATTCATCCAAAGTCCAGCTGCTACTGAGCACCTCTGCCTGCACCACATACTTATGATTCTGGAGTAGAAAAATTATTGGCAACATATAAACAAAAAATGCACATGCTACAAAAAACAACACATACACATACTTCAATTTTAGACCAATCAGTTCAAAAAATATTATTTCAGAAATCTTTGTCTGTGATATCTCTGCCAATGTTTAGTCTTCCTGTCATGCATTTTCTAAGAGTGCAAAGGTCCCTCTTTGTAAACATCCATTAGAATTTTAACTTGTGTTATAGCTTTTATATTGGACAGGATTAAGCTTTTATATCAGCAGTAGATGTTTGACAACTCCTTGAGACTTCTTATAGCTTTTTGTAGTGTGCTATCAGGATAATTTAGCTAAAATAAGCACATCATTGCATATTGGCAGTTGGTTCCAATGTCTATGTGTTCTATATATTTAAATGGTTGCCTTTAAATGCTTTTCAGGATTTTAAACCATGAAACAGGCTCACGAGCTGTTACAGTCTTTTACTAGGCTTCATTTTTTTGTGCTGAAATCTTTTAGTGTTATAAGATGAAAATTAGGGTCTATGTTTCCTACATGTTGGATAAACACACAGGCTGTCACAGTGTGACTTTCACCCAATTAAATGTATAAGTTAAATACTGATTACAATAAAGGGATGTTTACAGTGAAAATCACTCGTAGCGTAAATTCTGTGTGGTCTTGTGTCTTAATCACGTTTACTGTCATTCTACTCCAAGTCTTGATTGATTCAAAGTCTGGATCAATAGCTGTATGATCGCAATGGCTCCTGGTGTGTTGGTCCACTGATCTGTTGGATCTGATATGATCTATATCAGTAGTTCTTGTGGACTTGGAATTTTTTCAAGGCTTAAAGAATGTGAACCAACATAAACATCATGAGGTGCTAAACTTATTGTAACTGCAAAATTCCCTGGTTTTAAATTGATGTGTGGTAAATATTCATATTTTTTAAAACAGTGTGTCTATGATACAGATTTGTAACTTGACAAAAAAAGATTTAAACTTATGATGGGACAGAGAATACCTGTTGTTACCGTCTGGTAATTAATCATTATTCACAATCATTATTCTGCTATTCATAGCAAATATGGATAAGTCACACAGCCACAAAAACACCCATTCACATTCTGCTGCTTGCTTTGTTAGATCCTCACTGTATTAGTGTGTGTGGGTGAATGTAAATCAGTGTGTGTGCATGCCTAAAAATCAGGCGTTATCTGGCAGGAGGCAAAACTGATATGGACAGAGAGTAACTAACTGGGTGAGAAGGACAAGCAGAGAAATAGAGATCAGTTACGTGTTGGCAATAATACAGTAGTCTTTGATGGTACCTTGCTCTGGTCGGATGAGATGTCTGATCTCCCTGCTGGGCTGGCTGTGACATGCCTTTGCTCAGATGTATCTTGGTACAAGGATACATTTTGTTTGTTTTTATCTATACAACCCGGGTCTGTAATTCAAAGTGACAGTAAAATTAACAGGGTATGAAAGCAAAGCTAAATTTGTTGATGTACAGAAAGATCAGGGCAGAGTGGCCTCACAGCCTAGGTATTTAACATAAATAAATAACATTAGCTGCAACTGTCTTAGTTTGAAAATGTTATACTTTATCACTTGAACAATGTGTAAAAATCTTATCCATAAACAAACTGATTCCACAATAAGCAGGTGTAATTGAAATTAGGGAAGCAAGGTTTTCTTTTTGAGATATTGCTGAATAAAGACGTGAATTTGGCTAAAAAAAGATTCAATTGTAAAATAAAGAAAAGCGTTTTTGAAACATCAGCATAACAGCTGAACATCATGATAACATTCAGGAACTCATGATATAAAGTCAGACACAAGGTTATTTTTCTAGAGTACTGCTAAATTTGTTATGAAAAAAAACAAACTTATGACAAAACAGCAGGAAACCAAATTAAGATAGGGTAGTTTAATCTATGAATCCTAATTTTTCTTTTTTCTAAAAAGCCTTAAAGAAATATTTTTGATGGATTCAATACATTGTGGAAAGATATTTGGTAAAATTTGAGGTTGACAGGACTTTCCAAATAGGCAATAACTTTGTACAAAGCCTTGCAAATATATCCACAAACCTTAAACCTTTTCACATTTTGCATGTCCTGTCTTAGTTTTTCTGTAGCTCTGCATTATTTTTCAATTTCCGCTTATTTATATAGCAGTGCCTTATACATGAGGAATTGTTGCAGAAGAGCGAATCCTGCAAAGTCATCGACTTGTTTACATTTTTGATCAGTTTGTCTGTATGATTTGATTGAATTCTCTCCATAAAGTACCTTTAGATGAAACAAATGAAACACTCCTATACTGGGTTATTATCTAACTTTCACAACCTGCACATGTTATTGTTTCTATTCACTGGACTCACCTGTACTCAGTTGCTGCCAAGTGTAATTAATTCTGTTTCCTCATAGTCCGGTCTTATATTTACATCCTGTTTACATGCTGTCCACATCCTGTTGCTGTCACCTTGATTTCCCTCATATCCTGTATGTTTATCTTTTTCCATTATATCCTTTCAACATGCACTTGCTTATGATCTGTTGCTGCCACCGCAAACTCTGACAGTAACCCTGATTCAAACATGTTTATAACTTTATTCCTGACTTGTCTCCTATGTGTTTCTTGACCTTCATGAAGCTGCTTGTTGAACTATTTTCTCTAGCAAACATTTGACACCTTCACAACACGATTTGTACTCAGACCGAATTAAAAATAGGTGGACTGAATTAAAAAGCAACTGGTAATGGAAATTTGTTGACTATAAGAGTAATGGGGAATGAATAAAAATACATGTCAGATTTACAAAAAAAACTACTTGAAAACCATTTATCCTTTTCTTTAAACCTTATACAGTAACTATGCACCTTTTGAGGGCAATCAATCACCTAAAATCTCAATAAGAAATACATTACATACTGTAAGTTTGCCAAAAATGAAAAGTAAAAATACCTTTTAAAGGTGCTGTAATCTTCTGGCAAATAAAGATGTTCCTCTATCTCATAATACATTATTTTAATATAAAATGCTCAAGCCTAGCATATCTAATGAGTGCTGACCTTTGTTGGGCATGAAGAAAAATACAGGAAGTATAACGAAGCCCCTCCCAGTAACACCAGCCACCTCCTCCTCTTCGTCCAGAACAGACAGATGAATCCAAACGTGTGGATCAGAGGTTTCAAACTGAATCGTGCCCAGGACATCTGAAGTCACTTGCACACAGTACCTGTAGAAGGTTTTCAGATAGTCAAAGGTTTTATTAGTATCAGATGATTATAATTGGCCTGCCCATAATTTCTTAGGATGATGAATACAATCCATCTTCTTACCGACATATATGATTTTCTTTGTTTGGAATGTAATAATCTTGGAATTCCTTCACTGAGAATGTACTAGCAGGAGTTTCACGGGACAGTTTTGGAAGTGGTTCTTTTGTACCAATCAAACGTAGTCGCCACGTGGCTTCACCAGCAGGGATCTGAGGATTGATAGATTCTGCAACAAATGTGTAACCAAGCTGTAACAAAAATAAACAAAAAGTATAATTAAAGCACCAACACATTTATTTTCTGATAAATTGGTAAAATGAATCCCTATATCCACTAACCTTGTTGGGTTTATATTCGTGAGGAAGCACTTTAAGCATTCCAATCTCCTCTCCAGTGTCATTGTTTACAACATGTAAAGAACAATTAGGGATTATAGAAAAAACTTTTGGTACCAGTAGCATCTCCTCTGGAACAAAGAACACCTCTCTAGACAAACACAAACAATAAACTGGTCAGCTAGAACTATAATTTCTGTTGATAAATTCAGTTCAATTCAACAAAAAAAAAACTTTTTTTAATCCATAAAGGGAAAATACATGATGCAGTAACTTATGGGCAGTTATCAAGTTATTATAGATGATGATAGCTGTAGCAATAAGGATCTTATGTAGCAGTCTGTCTTGTATCGGATCTGGATGAGCCTCTTACTGAAGACACTCTGTTGTTAACATCTTTGGAAGAGGATGCTCAATGTTGTCCAATATGTTCTGCACTTTATTAAGAATTCTTTATGAAATCACCTCCAGAGGTTCCAGACAAGTCCCAAGAAAAGAGCCAGCCTTCTTTAAATCGTTTGCTCTGATGTGAAAAGATCACACTCTCCACCACTTATAGAAGATTTGCAGCATCTTGCTGCAAACACTGAATGACTTAAACTTCCTCAGGAAGTACAGTCTGCTCTGCCCTTTCTTGTGAAGGACATTGTAGTACCGTCTCCAGTCAGGTTTGTTGCCCAGGTGAACACCGATGTATTTATACTCCTCCTTTACTTCTTCTCCCATGATGTTAAAATGATTCATCTAGTCCAGTCCTCAAGAGCTACCATCCTGTAACTTTTAGATGCATCTGTTCTCTAGCACACCTGAATCAAAAGCCTCAATCCCCTCATTTAGCTCAGCAGAGGCACTCATTTGATTCAGATGTGTTAAAAATGGTTGCGTCAAAAAGTTGCAGGATAGTAGCTCTTGAGGACTGGACTTGAGCACCCCTGATCTAGTGCCTGTTTATTTTGAAATCTACAATTATCTCCCTTGTTGGTTGAAATTCAGGATCAGATTATTGTTGCATCTTCAAACAAAGAGTAAGTTTGAAGATGCAACAACAAATTGGTTTATGGCCAGAATCAACTATTTCTTTTCCTTAACTGCCACTTACAACAATTAACAATTTATTTAGGTTTCAAGAGAGTAAAAGCTAGGGACACTCTTAACGAATAACAAAAGGCTAAACAGAAGACTGCAAGTATATCTGAAAAAAACTCTAGATTGTACTAACAGTTTAGTTTAGGGACTTATTTTCCGGAACATACATATGAACCACAATATTCCCTTACATAAAGTGTTAAAGATAGTTGTGTCTTAAGGAGAGTGTAAAAGAGGATCTGTGAATTGATAACTTGGGATCAGGAGGAAACTGACTAACTTTCAAATCTAATATTTAAACCATATGTATTCTCTAACCTGAAGACCAAAACCCAGGACTGGGTTGTCTTCTTGAATGAGACGGAGTAATCAGCAAAGGTGATTCTCGCTGATTCATCCTGCAAACAGCGTTGGAGTTCTGTAATTTCTCCAGAATTTTCAATGATGTACCTAGACAGGAAAGATATGTTAGAATATTTAAACAATCTGTTTTGATAAAATTATTTTATATAAAGTGTAAAGAAAATTTCTAAAAATGTTTTGTGAAAATTAAATGTTTACATATTAGAATATTGATGAGGAACTATAGCACATGAATGAACAGCTACACAGGAAAAGAGAAGATGCAGTTTTATGCTTTTCAGCATGAAGTGGATGCATATGTCAGCGCATGCTCAAAGGCTGACAACATCCAACAATTGCCCCCTCTGCCCTCCCGAACTTTCAGTCTTCATGCCCATGTATACTTCCTCAGGCAGCGGGTCATGCAACAGACGCTGCAAGCTGATTGGTACAGGGTGAGCATAAACAGCAGATGGTACCACTGGGAAAAGATGGAACACAATGTGGAAAATACTCCCTGCATGGCCCCCACAGGCTGCTACAACCAGGAGAGGAAGTGGACTCTGGGTATGCATTAGAGGAAAATTTCATGACCACATTGCACCAGTATGGGCAAAGAACTAAATCTTGACTGATTCAGTATTCTCTCAATCATTACTTTTCATGTATAAAAATGCACACAAAAACATACGCTAAGCATTGATGCAAACAGCCATATCCTTGTAATTTGAAAAATGTAATAAGATGAAGTTTTTTTTTTTTGTTAAATCAGATATACCCTCTTAAGCGTATATAAAGCATACTTTCATTAAGCCCGTATTTGTGTATTTGCAATTGGACTGATGTGATGTTTTGATCTTGTAGGAGATCCAAAGTGCTCTTTCACTAACTGTAAACAGAAAATTATCATGATCAAGAGAAAAGGGACCTGAAAAAAATCAATCACTGCATACTTTATCTATGTAATGTGTTTCTCTTAGATAGAGTTATTGAAAATATGAATGTTTCATTAAGATTCAAATCTATTGAGATTAACCATAAAATTGTATTTCTATACCTCATAACAGCTTAACATTTTAACAATGAGTGTCTTATTTACCGTAGCAAGAAGGCAGCATGTTTGTCTGCATCTGATTCAATCTTTAGCCACATATCTGACAGTGTCTTGGAAGTGCTAGGGTTTTCCTTTGTTCCTGAATCAAAAAGTATACAAACACAAGAGGCAGCTACTAGTTAGGCTTAAAGATGATACATATTTCTGTCAAACATAATAAATCATTATTGATCACAGCCTAGTTTAAAGGAGTCATAGCAACTGGAAATGGTACAGTATTCAATTTGTCAGATTTTCTTTTAATGTTTTTCCTTTTTGTTTGTGTCTGTCAGGATGGTATTGTTCTTATTCGTATAACAGTTTATTCTTTTAAAGTTGCTGATTTCTGTCCTTGCTGACCTGACAAAAAGATTCTTGCTCATAAGTCTACAATTCATGTTTATAATTTGGATTTGTGTATTTAGGTTTTCTTTTTTCTGCAGAACTTTGGAATCACCATATATCAATCATTAGACCCCATCTCTATGCCAGACAGATGTTTTTGTGACCTCATAGCCAGTGTTAAATAGGGAGAAGATCAAATATCATATTAGCATGTTTCGTTTTTAAAAAGCTTACAGCTTTCTAGAGGCTCACAAAACATTTGAATTTGATTAAAGGTTAAATTTTTCAGCCTTTTTCACAGTGCAGTTATAGTACTGCAATAAATAATGGGGTGATTTTCATTCTTTTCACATTCTTTTTCTTAACAGGGTCAACAAGTTCCTATTTTCTGTATAGATAAAGTCACATTTTTGCCAGTATGCTGAATGAATGGGATTTATTACCTACGCAGTGTGTTTAATATTTAGACAGGACACAACACTATTTCCACCTCAGCATATCTTTGAAGATTCTTTAGAAATATACTGATGATGATGATGTGGTTCATGATTTTCTTACACTAATGACATATTATAAACTAGTCATCATAATCTCTTAATCTCACCGTTGTTCCCTTTTTGACTATATGTAGGAGGTAAATAGTCATTTTGAGATTAAAAGGCTCAATATCCTATGGCTGGATGTGCGGACATGGGTTGCTTTACAAACCGAAGAGAGAAATGCAGTGAAAAGATGCACACAGGACAGATGGAAAAAAAAGGAAGAAAAAAGAAGCATGACCATCCAGTTTTATAACCTTCATGCAGCTAAGCCTGAGTGTGCATCGGTCTGTCAATGTTAATGGCATATAAACAACCATCAGCGTTTTTCTGGCAGTGCTGGCAGATTCTACAACAATGAAAGCATTTCAGATATTTGGAAGGCTCCAATAACGTCAGTTTCTTTTTTTCTTTAAAAGTGATACCTCATAGAAGCAACTATAGTGTTGTTTTGAGACTGTCACACATAATGCCTGGAGTTGCCAAAACAAGCCTGCAGCAATTGAAATGAAATCAAATGTCACCTCCAGAGTTTCTTCATCAATCTGCAGAAGCGTGGTACCTCATATTCAACTTTCTACTGGCTTTGATTGTAACATCTTATTTGGATCAAACTACATAGTATGCAATATGAACATGTTACATGAATGTCACTGCATGATTGCAATCTAATGGAATGAGGTGGACTGATATAAACTAAATATTGACTAGTGAGATTAGCAACATGTAGCTCTGGTAGTGAGTATTTGGATTATTTAGTATGTCTATGGTATAATATAGAAATTTAAACAATTTACTGATTAAATTGTTATTAATTGCCTTAAAATGAAATTTAGCAGTTTACATGCAAAGTTGAACTAAGGAGGCACATTCATTAACAGGAGAGCTGAGAAAATGAAGAAACAATTACTGTAACTAGTTCATTGTTTTGTCTTGAAATTCTATTTATTAAGTTATTATTGACCCGATTGTGTGAAGTTGTCTGTACCTGTGTGTTCTCTTGACACTTTTTTTTCTATTTTCTTTCCTTGTCTTTGCTCCTTTGCTTAGTTTAAAAAAATCAGATACATTTAAACATTACATGAAATTGTATGCTTTTCTGCATTTGTTGCATGTTTTTCCACTACTTATGTGCATGTTTACCAGTTTTTGAGACATTAGGCATCCCTTCCTCCAAGTGCCCTTCAGATTCAGCTTGCAGAATGATGTCTGCCTGGTTTGTCCCTTCGTGCTTTGGCTCCCTGTCTTCCCATATTTCAGATGGATTTGTATCTGCTACAACAGAACAGAATGAGAAAAAATGAATAAAGTGAAAATATCAGATATATATAAATCTAATTGATTAAAGAGTAAGTCAATTATTAAATTATGCAATATTCTGAAATCAGTCTTAATCAATAACTTATAGTTTCTGTCTGATTTTAAAGCAACACTATAACTCTTACTCACTGGGGGGCTTGATCTACAACTTAGCAACACTGAATTCTACTGGCATCACTGCACTATCACAACATTTAACAGTCTACCTTGGAGTTATGGAATCTAATAGCAGACCACTTTAGACCAGTAGACTGTGAGCTCATGGAGATTATTGTAAAGACATGGCCACATTCACCCTTCTAAATAAATCCTAAATCAATAAATGAATAGTCTGGTCAGGTGAGCATTAAATTGCTTAACAACAACTTCTAACTTAGCTGTTACCTTAAGCGGAGCTCAGGCTGCCTGCCTTAAGGTGGCACTTAAGCTCACATAATATGTACTTGAAAAATAATTTAAAATATTTCAAATTAAGCTAATACTTGGGTCAAAAGTTATGCAGTGTTTCTTTAAACAAAGGAAATAAAATATTTCTGTAAGTGGATTCAAATTTAAACAGTTGTTAAAGAAATAAGCATCAGGGCTGCAAGCTAATTGTGAAATACCGACATATGCTAATGAATCTGTTGTATTTGTTAACATGTAGATGAAACCTGTAGCATGTGATTCTTCGAGGTCCGAGGTCAAGGGTGAGGGGTCACCAGTAAGGGCTTGAAGTGCAAAGTGCTCCTCTGATGTAAGCTTTCTGCCCAGGGCCTCACAAGCCATGTGGTAAACTGCTGAGTTAAAAACCTTTGTTTCCAGGACACACACACAATAACACAGAAATACAGAATAAATGCATACATTTGTAAAAACACAGACTTTACAACATAGTGGTTAAACTAAAATGATGAGCAACTTAAAATACAACCAAAAAAACATCTTTTCAAGAATATGCTATTATTACATACAAATGTTTGTGTATATGTAAAAGCAACTCATAATGGTGTCTGTTTATTAATTATTAAACCTTGGTACATCTAATTTCTTATTTCACATTTTTTATTAGTTGTGCAGTAGATAAAAGACATTCAACTATGCAGTCCAGTGAAATAAAGGAGATAGATGGTAATTTGCTCAGCCAGTACTTTATTTTCTTTGCAATGTAAAAGAACATGATGGCATAATGTCCAGCTCTGCTCTGGCTATACAAAGCTTGTCTCACTCATTTAAACCCTGCAGAAAGGATGTGATGGTCTGCACATAGGTCTCAAAACAATTACTGCAAGGTAGAGAAATCATATAATGCTATGAATAAAAAAAAAGAAAACGGAGAAACTGTTTAGTTTTTTATGAGAACAATTATTTGTATTCCAAACATTCCATAACAGGGTAAACAACTCCTCTCCCTTAGACACCTAATAGCCTTGCAACTCTGAGGCCTGAATGAATAAAACTACCGTACTATTGCTAATTGTGTTTTCACACTTGGGCTACTATTTACATACAGTATATACTCCAAAGAAAAGATAATTTTCTACATTGCATTATGTCAATACCACATTATGATCACAACTTACCTTTTGGCATTTCAATTTATCTGTCTTGGAGCAGATGTTATGGAGAAAAAGAGTCTTTTCCAGAGTCTCTCTAAGTGATGGCAGCTTCTCCTCATCACTGAAGGATGCAACCATGCTGGACAAGGCCTTAAATATGGTTGAAGCTTGCACAGTGAAGAGAGCTCTTTCCTGTTAAGAAAGGATCCAAGTATATGTTTTTATTTACTAATGCCAGATAAAAAGAACGAAACTAAAATTGTTGCAGATGGTTGCAAAAATGCAATGGAAAAATAGAAGTGTGACCTGTGAACCAAATTTTATGCAACAGAGACAGATCTAAAATCTAAGAAAATACAGGGGCCCACAACAAAGGGGTTTATTTTCAAGAGTTTCTCGTTTCCTGAATTTCCATACATAGATACAGCAAAGTACATTGCTGTAACTGAATATTCTACCTTTTGGTTGTAAAGTTCACTATGTTTTTTTTTTTAGATCTTTCCACCTCATACATTTTTCCGACACAATAAACAGATCAATTTCAAGTTAGCTGGATTTTTCCAGCATAACACAAATAAAAAGATTTTTGTTTAGAATCCCAGCTTTTGTACACTAGAATCACTAATAATTGTTAAAAGTTCTTAGTAACCTTTGCAAGATGGGGCATAATGGCTTCTTCATCTCCTATGATAAAGTACGTCTCGCTGCACAGGTGGATGTCGTAGCCTTGAGTCCCATGTGCATGGAGGCAGAATAAATGACGCCTGGGAAAGAAGAGAGTTGACAAAAAGATTTTTTGTTGAAAAGATTTGAAACACAGACCATTTACTAAAATTAAATCCAGTTCAGTTTATTTATATAGCGCCAATTCACAACACATATCATCTCAAGGCTCATTACAGAGCCAATTCAACCAGATCATACAGTGAGATTGATTCAAAGTTTTCTATGTAAGAAAACTAGCTGATAGCATCTACTCATTGACTCCAAAGGCAATCGCTCACACCAAACATGCTTGTAGCAACAGTGGAGAGGAAAAACTCCCTTTGGACAGGAAGAAACCTCTAGCAGAACCAGGTTAAGTGTGAGCGGCCATCTGCCGAAGCCAACTTGGGTTCAAAGAGACAGAAGCCGACATACAGAAAGAAGTGGAGATACAAAAGGAGGCAGAGGTACAAAAAAATTTAACTGTAAATTGCTAAAATATGAAGACTTGTCCTTCAGTACGATAAATTAAATAAAATCAAAGCAGGCATCGTTCACAATCAGATAGAATATAGAACTAACCACATTAAATGTCTTTCTCAAAATAAAAAAACTAAGCAAATAACAAAAAAATCCAACAACTTGTGAAGATCTTGAAACATTGGGCTGGTTTAAGTGTTTTTTTTTATTCATTTTTGTCTTTATATAGTCAAATTAATACAATCATATTCTCGTAGCAATTCCAAATTTTGTGGTGGTTACAAGGAGCCCATTAATAAATAAGTTGAGGCTTAAATCTTGGCTACAACTATGCTTTTCAGTCCATCACAGGGAAACAGTGAGACATACAGGTAAAACAGCTGTTCCTAAGGGGGGCTTTTAAGGTAAGATAATCGTGACAACTGAAACATAATATTTAAAGGTAGGATCATAATCCTAACTATTTGACTGCAACGAAATTTTGAGGTGAATTTTCCCAATTGAAACATGGAGCCTATGAAGTTCAACTGAATAAACTGATGCCTTCATCTGCCTATGACACAGCCAATCAGCTTTGAGCCACGCCTTCTCAAAAGCCAATCAGCATCAAGTTAATCTTAAAAGGCCTCCAATTCGCAACTCGGCTGCTACCTAGTGCGCAGGTGGTGCGCTTTGTGACCTTATGCAGATGACCCCGTTTCAACCTAACCTCCAGTCCCTCCTCCACCATTGTACTGTAGCTAAAATTTCATCAGTTTCATTACTCCTGGACTCTTATTGCATTCTGCGTCTCATTTCAACCGGTCCAACAAAAGACCGCTATGTTGAGCCTGGTTCTGCCAGAGGTTTCTTCCAATGGGAAGTTTTTACTCTCCACTGTCGCTTCATGCTTACTCATCATGGACAGGGTTACTCAACGTGTGTTATCAAACTGGACTTCCATCTACTGTATATGCCATCAGTCTACAGACTGACCAACTTCATCCATCTCCACTCAGCCCCCAGTTTCAGGCCTAGGGGGCAACAGCCCTATTCTTTGCTCCTGTTCATGCATATCAATCAAAATTCAGCGCTATGTTTCCTGCCAAGGTCTGAGCGCCAAAGACAAAGTAATTGTATCAATAAATTTCTCCGAATTGTCTTTTCTCTTTGTTCGAGATTTTTAGCTTGAAATGCCAACTACTGTGTAGCCTGTGTAATTGTTTTACTTATTTATAAGGTCAGTGCATTTCTGCAATACAAGTGCAATAATCCAAGTCAACTACTGTGTAGTCTGTATAATTTCTACTTGTTTATATGGTCAGTACACTTCTGCAGTGCAAGTGCAATAATCCAAGTCAACTACTGTGTAGTCTGTATAATTTGTACCTATTTATATGGTCAGTACACTTCTGCAGTGCAAGTGCAATAATCCAAGTCATCTACTGTGTAGTCTTTCCTTAGCTCTGTACTGTGCAGATATTTTTTTTTAATCTAAAGGAAACATATTCTAGGACATTACAACTTTGTTATACTTTTTTGTACTTTGTACTTGTTCTTGTATTTTTAATGGCATCTTGCTTGTAGCACTAAATTTCTTCTAATTGTCTTTTCTCTCCATGTGAGTTTTGCAGATTGAAATCGTAAAACTATTTTATTCCCACTCATCAAAGAGGATAAAACTAAGCTTTTTCTTTTATTCCATCAGAGATACATAGAGAATGGCAACACAAGTCTGCTACATCTGTACGCAAAATGCATACAGATGCTTGTTGGTTAGAAGTAAATATATAAAAGGAAATATATATTTTAATTTAATAAACTAATTTAACCATTACATTGTTCAATTTGCAGTCTTACATATTTTTTTGTAATGAACTAGTAACTCTATTCTTGAATTCATCACCCATATTTAAGACAGATTTACTGCTTTCTTGGAAATGTTACCATTTGTCTGTCTGTCAAGTGCCTGGCTATATTCCTGGGTTAAATATAAGGGATTCTATTACTATAGGCCTATTACTATAGTTTCAAAAAAATTCATCCATCATAAGTGAATTGGTAAGCAGGGGAGCAGTGCTTGAAATAGACTGAAGAAGCAGAAGAAAAAAATAGAACAAGGGAAAGGCATAAAGAACACAAGAAAAAAAAAGATTAACAGAGATGTGTGATGACACAAAACTATCATAAAAGAGCATAATAACAGTTCACTAGAGAGAAAGTATTATGGGACACTGTCAATTGAGTGTTGGGTGAGATTATGGCTCAGTGGTAATTGCAATGTTGCACACTTGCACCTGACCCCAGAAACTAGGACCTCTCCTTCTAGGTCAAACTAATGCCATTAATAGAGACTGGGACAGATACGTTTTGCTGCTTTTGAGGACAACCATGATGGGCAGGTGCTTGCATGATGGCATATTTCTCAATGGCTCTAAACACCCAAAAGAGCAAAATGCTTATTTAACATTTTCATTAAAACTTCTAAAAAGAGGTAATAGATGTTAATTCTGTGTTAATGTTTGTAGAGTGTGTTAACCATACAATTTTTTTTTTTTAAGTAAAACATTATGTAAAATATTAAAGTGCAAGTGTGTAGTAAATCCAGTACTTGATATGTAATACTATTTAGAGACAGCCTGAGCTTTTATGCTCATCAACACAGTTCAAATTTCTCACAGTTTCAGCAATTCGATCCTACCCTGCCGGTAAGCTAAGCATGGCTGCCTTTGAGTAGGTGGTCTTGATGGTGAGAACTGGAAGCTGAGACTGCATGCTTGTCCAGGAGTGAGGTTGAATAAGTAGCACTCCAGATCTGGATACTCCAGACAATTGTTTCTCCATATCAGATGCTGTAATGGGAAGGAATAAAAGTACATTAGTTCTACAATTTAATGTAATTCTCAGTTAAAAAATGGAAAATGTAGGTCAGAGCACACAAAATGATTTATAGCTCAGAAACTGCACAGATAATTATTTAGTGCGTGTTTGCATGTAAAGTCTCTTACTCTTCTCACCAATTCCTCCCCAAAGGAGGGCAGAAAAACTGATGAGGATCTGGGAAGGTTGCAGAGATACGACATATAGATAGTGAGTCCCTCTCACCTCTGCACACTGTGCCAAGAAACACATAAAAAAACCAGAAACTGTAAATACTGCTTCATAATTGGAAGAAGGAAATAAGCAAGGAAAATCTGTGAGGGAGAAAATAATTTTGATGTACACTGTATGGGGAGTATTATATGTTTGCATATGTACCTTGGCACTTGCTACATCCACAGATCTGTTAGAAAGACACTGATTAGATGATCCAGAGCCATTGTTTCCTCCAATGTCTTTTTGCAGGACAGTGGTCTGATAATAAAAGAAGTTAGGTAACAATGCAATAATCAATTTTAATGTATTATTCAAATCACAAACATATACAATGATGCTAAGAGACAACTGTGAACACACTAATTGGAAAGCTGCAGATATTAATAACTTCTTATGATGCATTTTTTACCTTGAAATGTGATTTATGAATATGATAACTATACATCTGGGGTTTGTGAAAGACCAACAAAGTCCTAAAGAAAAATGAAAAAGAAGTGTTTATTTTTCTTCTGCTTAAGCCTGGCCTTAATGAACAGTGATAGCTTTAATTTGCATTTGTTTCTCACTGAAAACATTTTGCAAAGTCATCCATGTCCAGCCATGTCCTCAGTAGGGGTCTAGCATCCTTGGCTGGAGTATCTGATGTCAGAGTTGTTGGTTGACCTGGAAGGAAGTAAAGTGAACTAAGGTCGGTAAGAAAACTACCGATATATTTGGATATCTTTGGAGCACCCTTTTCCGATCGGTTGTGTTTTAAATCATTATATAACAACAAAAAAATGACCTTTTCAGGTTGATTGCTAACTGAATTGATTGGCGTTTTTAATGCTAAAGTAAAATCTCAAGTCCTGAAATGTTGCAAGTAAATAAATATGTGTGACTCATACTGTAAGTTATCCTAGATTCAAAACATTATAGCGGGTTTAACAGTCCAAACTCCCACATAATGGCACAGTGTAAGCGCACGTCCATACTCCCACTCAAACTCCCACATTTTCTGTGCATCCTGTGCATAGTCACAGACATATGCACACACAGGCTCCATCTCCAAAAGATACACACCGAGTCTAACCCTATGCTCTACTTGAAACAAGATTCTGATAAGGAAGCTGAGGCGATGAGGGCAAGCATCTCCGCTTCTGAGCAATGGTGGTCTGCTAACTCAAGCTGCAGGTGTTACTAAGCAACTAAAAGGGGGCAGAGAGGAGGCAGTGATGTCACAGGCTGAAATTTCAGACCATTTTCAAATGTTAATTTCGCCCACAGAGAAGAAGAAGAAGAAGAAAGAAGGATCCAAATATTTCTATACACAATAACTAGGCTGAAATGCACTGATACTTTTAAAGACATTGATTAAAATGACTTTGGATGAGGTGTAAACAAAGATAATTTTCCATTTCTTCAATTTAAATATGTTACTACTAAAAGGGCAGTTTTTTTCACACAGATATTCATTTTAGGTACTGAAAATGCTGCATGGAAATAGCTTTTACCTTCAGAGAAATGATCATTGTCCTTTATCGTGTCCTCTGCTGTAACCTAGAGGGATAATCAGAGAGAGAAAAAAGAAAATGTGTGAGAAGCATGAACTGTGGGATGCTGACAGAGTACCACTGCGAGAGATATGCCTCTACCCTCTAGTTATTCCACGCCAGCTGTGGTGTTGTGCCATTCTCACCCGACACAGAGACACAGTTAAATGTGACAGGGGCTGCCCCGCCCTACTAAAAACACCACCAGGGAATACCAGCTCTAATTTACTTTGAATGCAAGTGACAGAGGAGGAGTTGTTCTGTTGTTTAGTTTGTTATTCCTTTAAGAGATGATTCACACAGTAGCTCTGATTCCCTGTCTGTCTATCCAGCCTATTAAAGACAGAGCTAATGAGTCATAATCATATGCTTAAAAATAACACCCTTTTTGCTACAGCTATTTTTCCCCGTCTTTCCGCTTCTTATTCAGATGGCTGCATTTTCATGGACGCATTTTTGTATTGAGAAAAGAAAGTGAGAGATATTAAAGACATTAAGGATAAAGGCTTGAATCTGGATGGACTTCTAATAAAATAGGCTTGTTTCCTCAGTTCGATTATCTGGATAAAAAAATGTTTTGTCATTTCATTTTTTTCATATTTCACACTTCTCACTCATTACACTTTCAACCACAAACTGACATGTATTTCACTATAATTTTGCACATTAGGCTGAGACAATGTAGTGCATAACGGCAAAGAAGAAAGACATATGCTGCAATTTAATGTTCAAACCTTTTGGGATATAACACAGCCAGTCTGTTGTGTATGTTTACTTTAAAGGGTGAAGTTTAAGCTTAGGTAGACTGGATTAGGTGAGTCTGTGATTCTTTAGTGATTCTTAGTTGCATTCTAGAATAAAATTTGACCTTAACGCATTATATCAAAAGTTGTTTTCTTGCTAGGTGGTGAATCTTTACTTCAGTCTGATTCTATGTTTCCATCAACACGTTTTGTCCTGTAAATACCATTTAATTAGCTCCACTGGTATTTCCATCAACTCTGACCATTATTGGTGTATCATCATGCTGCCACTACCATATTTCATAAGTAGAATAGCTTTATTTGTCACCCAGCTTGATGCAGCAGTCCAGTATGGTGAAAATTAAAGTTCTATTTTATTCTTACCAAAGCTCATTCTTCCACATGTTTGGTGTTTACAGCATGGCTTGTAAAAACATGTAAAGGACCTCTTAAGGTTTTCTTTCAGCATTGGCTGCTGCCCTTTAAAGACCAGATTTGTAAAAAAAAAAATAAAAATAAATAAAAAATAATAGTCTTGTCAGTAAAATGTCCTATTCAAGATGTCAATTTCTTTGGTAATAATCTGAGAAACTGCAAGTTTCTCAGATTAGTGTTGTTTGCCAGAGAGGCCTGGCTTTTGAATGTAATCAAGTGCACTTTCTTTCATTTAGATTGTCCAAGTAAACAAACATAGATTTTGGAAATACCCAATAAATGTATTATTTCTTTGTGTCATTTTCTTCTTACTTCACAATTATAGACTGCTTTACAGTTGTCTATCATGTTAGATACTCTAAACAAGGACTTTCTGATTGTAAATGATAGAATAGGAAAGATTTCAAGGATTATTTGGTCCCTTTCAAAAATATATATATATATAATAATATATAAAATAATATATATATAGTGCAGAGCAACAAGAGGAATTTTGTTCTGAATAGGCACTAAGAAAAGTTAACCAAACAAGATAAATTTAAATTATAAAGAAGGTGATTTTTCCAAAAACGTGCATTACTGACAATCAAAGCCAAGTGGAGGAAGATGTGCACATGTCTCAGTAATCTAAACCTCCCTCCTTTCATATGAAGTCTGTGTCAAACACAGTCCCTTGAGGAACCAATTTGGTGAATGTCCAAGGATTTACTCAGCTCTGAACAAGAATGATCATTTTGTATTGTGTAGCTTCAAAGTAACTCCAGCCAAGACTCTCTGACTCAGAGAGGCACAGTGTGTCTGCTGCTGCATGTGAGTCACCACTTATTCAAATAAGTACCCAGAGATTCAGACAGACGGAAAGAGACATTGTGATCAGGAGGCACACTTGACCTCCTCTCTACCGCTATAAAAGAGCTTTGCTTCAACAAAAATGTCAATATGTACATGTCTGTGTGTTTGTTGGCAGGCATATAAAACTTTAAGTCAAGATCCAAGTCATGCAATGTTTTCTGTACCCACATACTGCTCTATGCCTCTGTGTGGGGGAGATGTGAAAATGAGACTGGAAAGTGTTGATGTTGGTATCAGAGATTACAAGACAAAAGAAGATCGAAAAGTTAAAACCTAAAGTTATATACATTTTGGTTATGTAGAAGTAGAAGCAGGGAGTTTATATCATGGTCTAGTTATTTGAACTCCACCCCAACAGAGGGAATATGCCGGTGTGAGTATTGATGATGTCATGAGACCTCGCCGGAGTCAGTGACAGAGCTCAATTCTATTGGCTAAGGTCAATAAACGGAGGAAAAAAAAAAAAAAAACATGCCAAGGATCTCTGCTTGTTTGATCCACTGTCTCGGCTTGTGACCCACCATGTGATCACCACAGAAAGTGTCACACATCCGACACATGCAAACCAATCTGAGAAGTCTGAATACACAAATCCAATTAGCATGCCAGCACTGCTCTAACCTATCCACTCTATAGCTGCTCAAAGTTACACAAGAGGACAGCTAATATAAATGCTATTTTTTCCTGTGTATGCTAGGACTGAAGTGTAATAATGAAGCCCCCCAGAGACATAGACACTGATGGCTCACCATCTAATTGCACATCTTTTTTTAATCAGCATAGTACATGACCTCTCCTTGTATGAAACCCATGTGGTCCGTTCACCACCACTACCACTCAACAGAGACTCTATTCGTGTTTGGCCTTTACTTCACCCATGGAACTATCCCTTTCTTTTCATTTTTCATTCCCTTCTCATGTCTTGTTTTATGGCAGTAGTTGCCCCTCTGTGCTCCTTTCCATCTTTGCTTCTGACTTCATCTCCGCTTCCATCTTCTGCTCTGAATGCTAGCCTCCAGTATTTCTCTTTCTGAGCTGGTTCTTTCTTTAGTACAAACACGCCCCTGGTTAGTAGCGGCCTGAGCGGCAGATAACAGAAGTGACTTTGAGAATGGGGGATGGCAGCGGAGCTGTCACCAAGCTTTACTGATCAGCCTAAGCCAAATGGAAGTGTAAGAACACAGTAATAAAAGAATGGAATGAATAACAAAATGTAGCATTTTTAACAACGCTGAAATAGAAAGGCCTTAAAGATCATTAAAGATGATTATGCCATCTGCATATTCTCTAAACAACTATGTTTCACTTGTTAAACCAGCTGATGTTAGATGTACAATATATATTAAAAGCAAACCTGTGCAGACAGAAATTCTGAGTACCTTCAGTTCATCCGTGGCATTTGGTTCAGCTACATCAAGCTCAAGGCTCTCTGTCTCCTCTGTCTCCGAAATCAACACCAAAGGGGATCCATGGAAACCCTTCATTTGAGTGCTCCGCTTGGTCTCTCTACTAAACAAAGACATATAATCATTACAGTATAATAAATCCTGTTACCCAGCTAACAGTAATCAATATTAAGCTTTAAAGCTACTCTAACCAGGGAAGATTTCAAACAATACATTTTACTTGATCTGCATTTTTTTAAGCCTATTCATTGATAAAACCATTTTGTTCTGATGTAAATTATAAACATTTTAAATTAATTTTTTAAATAATTATTAAGTAATATTCCATTACCATGTGATGAGAAAATAAGAATAATTAGCTTTTTCAGCATATGCTAATTCTTCTTTTTAGAGTAAGGTATTAAAATAATTTTAATATTTTCTTTATTTTCTTTTACTCAGTTGTAACAAGTTAAAAGCGAAAATACAAGAAAATACCATTTTGCAAAAAAAAAAAAATTAATAAACTAAAGAAGAGAAAACATGAATTTTATAAAAAATGTGACACATTTTAGGCACTTACAGTTCTGGGATACAGCCTTCTCTGCTTATAAAACTGTCAAACAGAAAAGGGCTGGCAACCTCAAT